AGAGGGCGGGGGTGGAGTGAAGTGGAAAGGGGAGAGAAAGAGATACTACAGACGAGTGGAGTGGAAGAGGGGGAAGGGGCGCCCTCCGGGGGGGCTGCGTGGCCCGGCGCGCGTAGCCGGCGTGGCCCCCCTCCCTGGGTGCGGCCCAAGAGGGGAGGGGGGCTGCCAGAGAAGGGGTCGATGAATTGTTGAGGAAAGCGAGAGTGAAGTTGGAGAGGGGGGCGCTCTTGGCTCCCGGTCTCTACTCGAGCTCATCCTTGGTGGGGTCGGGTCGGGGGTGCTGTGTATGGCGATACTTCTGCCAGAGTGCGCGCCAAAGCGGTACCCACTTCGTATTGATTTGAAACCTAACCTTGTTCCTTTTGTGCTGACGGTCGTTGTTCTTTTGTTGCAGCCCATGGCGCAGCCCATGGCCACGCCCATGGCGCAGCCCGGCATGGCCGACAGATGGGGGGCCCGCGACCCCAAGGGGGCGAAGGGGACAGCACCAGAAGGGTAAGGTTTTTCTTATTTCTCCTTCCCTCTTGTACGTTTCTCTCTCTCTCTCTTTTTTAATCTTCAATTTTATTCCTCCCGCCCTCCCCGGCGCTTTTTCTCGTTTCCGCTACGACGCCAATCCCCCGGAATCCCGGCCGCCGTCAAACCTCGGCTATGCAATCCCATCTTCGTCTTGAGCTGTATTTTTTTTCCTCGGCTAGGCCCGGCGGCCCCCCCGAACCCCCGTTTGCTGCAACTGGGGGAACTGTCGGCGACGCTGGCTTCTCCGTCTTCATCTCTCCCCCTCTCTCGTACTGCTCCCCGTCATCCCTGGAGAGACGTCCCTCTCTCTCGCTCTCTCTCCCCCGCGCCGGACGTAGCAGATGAGGGAAGCTGCATTTTCCTCTCTGTTGATTTTAGAAAATAAGACCGAAATGAGCGCGAAAGTGTTCTTTTTTTTATCCTTCGGGTGGCGGGGTGCGACTCACCTTTATAGGAGCCTCCCAAATCCTGACGTGTTTTATCCGGGGGTTATAAACCTTTCTGCTCCGGCCCCTTAACTCCCCCGATGGACGACGCGCCTGTGCTCCGCCGAGCGCGACCGCTCTCCTCTCTTCCCCTCCGCGCCGTCGCCATTGTCCGCTGTCCTCCCGTCCCGGCCGCTGAGTCGGTCGGAGTGCCCCTGCGGCCCGGCGCGTAGGCCGCCGGCCCGACACCGCTGTCTGGCGCCCGGCCTACGCTTCCACTGACAGGCGCTCGGGCGGCCGAGTGCGATGCATGCGCCACGGTCTCGGACCCCCTTCGCCCGTAGGCGGCATCAGGCCCCCCTGCGACCCGAGCAATCCCCGGGATTGAAACAATAACTGGTCATGACTCGAAGATTGCCGACTGACTATGGTCTGAAAGTAATGGGAAACCATATATCAACCATTACAAGCAAGCAACTCACAGGTTTAATGTGCGCGTTACGTTTACGAGGCATTCCGGCCATTTGGTCCATCACCAGTGTCATCTAAACCACGGTGTTGGTCACATAAAACGAGAGTGTTAACAGCGTCGAAATAAAAATACATTTTGCAAGCGATGTCATTGAATTTTCTATAATTTAATGGGGACTTTTTTTACCGAAATATTGCACACGCATGTTTTTTTCTACTCTTCATCTTGTGTGAGCATGTAAAGCATGGAGGAGCAGGGTGGCATGGCACAGGGGGCTCTCTCTCTCTCTTAGCGAGGAAGTTAATTGCTCAGCCTGTAATCTCTCTCGGTGGTCGGCAGGGGAGAGGAGGTATAGGGTTAGGGGGGATCTGTCGTGAAAAGGAGGGGCGGGCGTAAGATCTGTAGTATAAAGGGGAAGGGGTGGGGAGGGGTTGGACAGGAAAAAAGTCGTAAAAAGGAAAAAGTAGTGCAGTTCCTCGCTCGGTGGCCGGTGGTGGCCCCCAGTCTGGCCCGGCGCCGTGAGGTGTTGTCGGCAGTAAACTGCGAGGGGATGGCTAAACCGGAGAAAGTGGTTTGACGCGCCGGTCTAAAGCGGAACGGGAAGGGAGCCCAGCGGTGGGGCGGGCGAGAGAGGGGTGGTCATTGTGACGTCTGCTGACGCGAGCAGTATCCTTGAGAGAGAGAGAGAGAGAGAGAGAGAGAGAGAGAGAGAGAGAGAGAGAGCGTCCCCGGTGCACTTAACGCCCTTACAGCGATGGGCGCCGTCCTGAAGGGGAAAGGGACCATCGAAAGGGACGGGGCGCGGCAGCCTACCCAGCCGTGAGCTGGGGCGCGCCTAAATGCAGCCGGACCTCCCCATCCTCTTGTAGCGGGTACAATACACTGCCGAAAGAAGTCGCAAGGTTGTGTTTTCTCCCTCACTTTTTTTTTGCTTGGTTTCTCGCTTCTCCCTCTCTTCTCAACGTGGTAAGGATTCGCACCAAGCGCGACTCGAAGGGGCTCGGAGTGTATCCCCTTTCCCGCCCCATCCTCCCCCCTCCTCCCTCTCTTCTCCAACCCCTCTATCCCTCTACTTCCCTTCCCCCTCCGCCCCGCACACCCGCTCAGATTTTTAATTAGATTTCCCGTGAATGTCAGGACGGGCGACACGAGCGCTGGACCAGTCTATCCTCTTAGTCGTTTTGTTTCGACGTTTCTGTTTTTCTCGCGCCGCCTTGCCGTAATTTGGCCATTTGTGATTTTATTTAGTTAGGACCCCACCAACAACCCTGCAGGTCACCTGAGCGTTATGCTTTAACCGAATCTCTTGCCTGCTTCTTACCAACCTGTTTTCGTTCATGCACTTGTTTTTCATTTTTAACGATACACTGTTGTGTTTTACTCTAATTACTAATCTTTGCAGAGTTATTGTTGTTTGGAAACATTCTTGCATCGCAGTGTACCTCTGTTGACTTCCTTTATATCTCCTCTTGCACGTAGCTTTAATCGAGTCTCTTCTCTCTCTTTCTCCATGAGGCGTAAAGTTTTACAACCGTCGTCGGCAAACGAATATGAAAAACGCGTGTCGGTTGGACAGAGAGAGAGAGAGAGAGAGAGAGAGAGAGAGATAGAGAGAGAGAGAGAAATAGAAAGAGAGGGGGGTGAGGGTGGGAGAAGGAGGGTGGGGGTGTCACGGACAGGTCCTCGACATGCGTCATTGTGCCGTGAAACTTTTTTAAGAGTCCTGCTGCTGCCAAGTCATCCTGAGACACGCCGTACACCCTCCCGCCCCGCTCCGCCCTGGGCCCTTTCGCTTTCGCATTGTGCAGACGGTCAATGTCCCGGCGGGAGAGAGGCCCTGTCGGTGGGGAGGGAGGAGGTCCTGGCGATGAGGTCCCGTGTGCCCGGTCGCCCGGAAGAGAAGGGTACTGTGTACTTGGGTGACCCCTTGTGCTGTACACTGCCTTCCTTGTGCAGCTTCGCCGGCAGACGGACGCGCACACAGAGACTCGCGAGACAGAGCAAGGCTGGCGGAATTCCCTTTTCATGCCGCACCCCCTCTGATATAGAGGACGAAAAATTCCTCATCATCGTAACATTCGCTTTGCGTCGTGGAAAAGAAAAGAGGCACGCGCTCGTGCCGTGCGATATGGCGGCGCTGGCGTGTAGAGGGGGGGGGGGGGAATCGGAAATGAGAAATACGCTGTCACACCGACGTAATGGGAGGCTCCGCTACGCCCCTCCATGCCCCGTGTTACCCTGCTGCTGCACAGTACGGTGAGGCTGAGAAGAGAGGAGCACCCCAAGCAGCAGGGACACAAGGTACTCGTGATCAGGTCGTAGCCCCCCGTTTTTCGCCGCTTTTAATGCTGCACATTTCGACATAATTAAGCACTTTGCGCAACACCGTATACCACCGATTCCAACTTCCTCTCTCCCTCTGTCCTATTCGGTTGCCTTCCCCCGCCTTCGCTCTCACTACAGACGCCAGGGGGCAGCGACCTGGCTCCTCGGTTCAGACTGGGAAGTTCAGGGTCGCTGTGCAGTACAAGTACAGTACTGGGGAGGAGGGTTGCAGGTACTGGAGGAGGGGGCGCGTCTTTGATGGAGAAGGCAGTCGCTCTGGATCTAGATCTCTCTATGTCTAGACCTATCTCTCATTGTCAGTGTTTGACTGGAGAATAATACCTCTTGTCTGGAGGAGGCATTTACCTTTCGCGTCGTCTAAACGGCAGCACACGAATACTTGCCAGATTGGCAAATACCTCCGCAACCTCCGCAGTCCTCAGGGGGCGGCTGCCGAGGGGAGCGCGTTGCGTTGCCCAGCGCCTCGGGGCCTCGACGAGCTCGCTCCCTTTTATTTTGAATTTTTGATTGTTTGAGAAAGAATTGGGGGAAGAGGGGGGGTAGAAGGGGGCAGCAGTAAGCCTCGTTCACAGTGGAAAAAGTATGGTAAAAAAAATGTCAACGGTGCGCGACGCCCAAGTAGCCGCGGGGCAAATGCGACTGGTTGAGGGGAGAGGCCGATGGGGGAAATGAGCACATCGGATTTAGATATTCTCGCTGATCTGTATTCAGAGGCCTGGAGGCCGACGAGGCAGGTCAGGCAAAGGCACGGCGCCAAGCTGAAGCCGGCTTCACCGCGGGGTTCCAATGGCGCATGGTATATATGGCAGAGGAACTCTTAAATCACAAAAGCAAAATTAGACTGAACATATTGTAGCCATCTTCCACCATATTTCGCACTAAACACCGTTCCTACCGAGTGAAGCGCATTTGCTGATTCAAAACAATTCCCGTTTGCTACTCGGCCCGACTGCCCGCCCGACTGCTGTTTTCTCGAGTGGCAAGAAACATTTCCAGTTCGCTGTTTCGCTGTGCACCGGGTGCTTTTGCTCGACGCTCGCTCAGCGAGAAGTGTGTTTCGAGTGGGGCGAAAAGTAGCCGAAGCGTTTTGTGTTTTAACGAGGCACCTGTTGCCCGCCGTGGTGGAACCGTTTTGTCGTTTAAATGCGGCCGCGTCGCCGGGTGGGGCGGGGCCGGAACGGAGCGGGGCGGGTGCGGGGCGGAGCTACGCTTGACTGCCACCATGCGAGTGCGGGGCGGTACGGCGGTACGCGGGTTGAAATTAATTTTTCCCTTGCGACTTTCCGTCACATCCATCCTTTCCTCTCTCGCGACTCTGCTCCCAATGAATCAGCCGTGTCACACACACACACTCTCTCTCTCTCACACACACATACTGCCGCAATGCAATTTCACACAAGCGCGGGAGGTGATATTTAGATGGTGTTTGCAGTGGGTGACTCATGTGCCTCGCTGTGCACTGTGTGTGTGTGTGTGTGTGTGTGTGTCCAGGGCTCATAGCGCACCTGCACTGTGTGCGCAATGGATTATCTCTGACCCACCAAATAACGCAAGGGCGTTGAGCTAGAGAGAGAGAGAGAGAGAGAGAGAGAGGGGGGGGGCGGGGAGCTGCATTATGAATGGCAAACGCGCACGCAGGCGGGGCGGGGCTGGGCAGTAGCAGGCCGTTGCACTCGCCGCGTCGCCGGTGTGAGCAACTCGCGAAATGAAATGAAGAGCTTTTTGCGGAGCGC